AAAGCAGTCATCTGTCTTATTTTGCAGAAGAACAAAAGCCCTAGCACTTACATTAAAACTGGGTTCACAGTCAAATACTCATAAATAACAGTAAAGAATGTAACTTACAAGGCCTCGGTTGGTTTCAACTAAACATCCACATCTGCTTGAAGCAAAGTTCACTCCATGAACAAATCCTTTACTCTCAATTTCAAAATAAGATGGTATGAATGGCAAATTAGCATATTCCGCTGCAAACAACAATAGACCAAATTAAGTCGTACAGCTAGATCTCCATTACAAGAAAATTGTACAAATTCAATGCAAGGATATAGACTACTCTCCTTTTTGGCTAAAAGACGTCAAAATCTAGAGTATATTTATATCTCGCAATATAAAAAATGATTTATGTTATATAAACTGATTGTGTTAATGAATTTTCTTTACATTACCTTATTGACTTGATATTACAAAATTTTCCTTACACTATTGTTGGCGTTTCGAAAAGGAACCTTTTGGGTTGCATCTCTTTACTCTCCCATTCATTGCCTATAAATATAGAGGCACTATATCAGATTTTAAACACATCATATTTTTTGCACTCTTCTTTCTTATGTATATTTCCTCACAAATAAAATAGAATTTGTATGTAATTTGTTCTGCCTTATTGCGTTGGTTGAAACACTGGGGTTTAAAATACTGCTACACTAGTATGGATAATTTGTTCTATCATGGGAGAAAATAACGCTAAACCTCGGGTACTAGAAGGGGATTAAGTTTCTTAAGGATATACTGTCAAATTAGTTGGCACGAATCTTTGTTCTTCATCTACATTTCTGTCTCTTTTCTTTTTCTATTTTTACCTTGCAGAGTTTTTCTGTTTCGAACACAATATTACTCACAACTATATTAGCGTAGTATTAATTAAATCCATATACAAATAGATTTGGATAAACTTATTTAAAGTGAATTTGAGTTTTATAAAAATAAGAATGACTTAGGGTGTGTTTGGTATGAAGGAAAACATTTTCTAGAAAATATGTTTTCAATTTTTCTATGTTTGCCTTCAATTGAAGGAAAATATTTTCCAAAACATTTAAGCCAACCAAACAGGAGGAAAATATTTTCTCTATCAAAAGAAGGGAAAATATTTTTCAAAACTCTTTTTCAACCTTCTCCACCATATTCCCCTTCCCCACCAACCCCCATCCACCCCACCCCCAAACTATGAGAAAATGATCAAAATGGTCCTTAATGTATAGGGGTTGGAATATTTTGATCCTTGACATATACCACTTAATAGGAATAGTTCTTAATGTATACAAAATGTGATAGCTTTGGTCCTCAACCCTAAAACTAATAGTAGAAAATAAAAATTTTGTTAAATTTAATCCCAATCCCTCAAAAGCAAAGTCTGACAGACCCATTTCCCCCCTCCTATTCTATCTTTTACCTTGCCAATCTCTCAATAAAAAGACCCAGCCCCAACTCGCATATCTTCAACCATTTCTGTTACTACCAAAGCACCCATTTCAAACAACCAAAACTTTTACACATGATTGATATGTTGAATAGAAGAAAATATCAAGAACAAGAGTGAACCCATATGATATATCCTTGTATTTAAAGATCAAAACTTATTTTTGCACAACAACTACAAAGCAATTTGGACAACACGATTTTAACTGTCCCTATTGAAATCTTGTCAAGCACCATTACTGGTTGCATATCACGAATTGACCCATCACCTCTTCTTCGACTATATTACTAGTCCTATAGTGGCTAGAATTTTCTGGTTCAACATTATTTTGCTTCTTTGAATCTTTCCCAGTAAGAAAACAATTCAAACTTCATCAAGATACAAAGCAAACGTTTAGAATTCTATAGCACATTGAAAACTATTATCTTAAGATTAATGAAATTAAATTGGTTTTCCAAACTTGGAATACCATAGAGAATATATTTCATGATCTAACACTCAAGCATTAGATTCAGGTCTGTGTATCTCCGGTTGCAAAATTATAAATCAAACTGAAATTTTAACAATGGAAGTGATCGATTAAAACAGATTCGCAAGTAAATTCAAACAACAAAAAAAGAATTTCCATCTATAATATCCATAAGACTAACAAGCAAAACAATTTAGCTTCCCAAGAAGATCCATTCTTGTTTGAGAGAGGGTTTGGATTTAAGGTCGTTAATGGTGTATGAGAGAAGAGGAGGGAGCCGGGAGAGATTGGGGTGTAGTTTAACAGAATTTTTTATTTTTTACTGTTAGTTTTAGGGTCGAGGACCAAAGCTATCACCTTTTGTATACATTAATGACTATTCTTATTAAGTGATATATATATCAAGGACCAAAATATTTCAACCCTTATACATTAAGGACCATTTTGATCATTTTCTCCCCAAACCATCCCTACCCCACCCACTCCCAACCTCGCCCACCACCCACCCTAAATAGAAATATTATTAAGAGTATTTTATTTTCATGTTAATTTTTTTCCAACAAAATGAGTATATATTTTTCATGATATAGAAAAAATATTTTTTCATTTCAACAAACTAAATATTTTATTTCTCTGATGTAGAAAATATATATTTTTTCATTTATTTTCATGATGTAGAAAAAAGTATTTTCTTTCATTTCAACAAAATGAGCATTTTCTTTTCATGATATACAAAATATATTTTCTTTTATTCAACAAAATGAGTAATTTCTTTTCAAGTTGTAGAAATAATACTTTCTATTTCAACAAAAAAAGTATTTTCTTTTTAGTTATCGAGCTCAAATTTCAACGTTGTTTTTGTGTGAAAAACGTAAAGTAGCACATTATTTTCTTTGGGTTTGTGTGAATTTTGAAAAGAATAATTAAATTCTTGAAGAAAATAGAGTCCCGGGGGGGGGGGGGGGGGGGGGGGGGAGTACAAGAAACATGAGGATTTTGGGAAAGGTGGGTTGAGGAATGTAGCATAAAAAATTATTTTCCTAAAAATATTTTATACTCTCCAACCAAACACTATAAAATATTTTCCGAAAAATGTTTTTTCACTCACCAACCAAACAAGGAAAAATAAGTGATAAAACTACTCATTTTCAATAAAAATATTTTTCATGAAAAATATTTTCCTTGGTACCAAACGCACCCTTACTTTCCGTAATTTGACCAGCTCCAACAAGTCATTCACCCTCTTTCTGATGTTATTACCCGTACTAGTATAAACTCTTGTATAGACTCTTACCTACTCGATGGCAGGGGCGGATGTAAAATTCGTTTGTGTCTCTATATATCATATTTTAAATCCCCATAATACAGCCTAAAAGCATAACTAAGTGGTTAAAGGGGTTCAAAACCTTTGTCAAGTCGTTGGTGCAAAATTAAAGAAAACTTAAAACATATTATAAATGGAGTATAAGATATTATCTAGTTGGTGAAATTCTTAGATATGGTACCCAGTGACGAAGCCACATGGTCACAAGGATGGTCAACTGATCACCTTCCGTCGAAAAATTGCACTGTGTATACAGGCAAAATATTACGTTTTAGAGTTATATAACACATATTGAACACCTTTTGTCGGGAACTTTTTTTCACTCTTTTCAAATTTGAATACCCTTCAAAAAACATTCCTAGTTTTGCCACTGATGATACCTATAAAGTCAGAGATGAGACGACCATCACAAGGTCTACCAGTAGGGTACTTGAAGAATGATTCACCATAAGGCCACCAATTCGATTGGAAGTCAAGACTAGCGTTGATGTAGTTATTATTCCCAGGATCCACTGTCGAATCGCCAAACACAAAGAGGGCAGTTTTATCAAGTCATGTAATAACATCTTTGTCAATGCATGCAGTGAATTTGGTTAAGATGAATACTAATAAGATGAAGATGAAGCCATGAAAGAAGCTTGAGTTCAAAGCCATTGGAGAACTTGTTAAAGATGCCATTCATGTTTTTGTGTATTATAATTCCCAGTGGCTTTGAAATGGACATCATGAATTATTGCTTGAGAAATAGTTAATATATTATCTCATTGTCTATGTTATTCGGTATTAAATTTAGATTTGCATTGGAAAGTGGGGTAAAACGATTCTTAATAAAGATGATTACATACTTGGACTTGATCCCAAATCAATAACTTAAAAATGAAGAAGTACTAATCATACTACCACAATTCCTATTTGCGACCAAAGAGTTCTTGTTTAAAAATAGTTTTGTTGGCAATGAGTTGTTATGTTAAACCGACTGGAGTAATTAAATCCATTAAACTATAGGAAGGAACATGTTGCCTTCTTTTAAAGGTCAACCCTAATACGAGTCTTTTCTCCGTCCATTCTTTCAAGGGTCAACCATAATACTTGCCCTTCTCTTTTCTTTTTAATTATTGCAAAAAAGAAAAAAAGGATAATTAATTGATCAGAGCTAGAGTAGAGAATGTCCAGTAAAATTAATTCGATGCATAAATATATATACTGTGACATGAATTAAATGACACATTTGACTATCTTGCAATAAATGACAATCTTACAAAAAGAATCACAAAAATATATACCTAGATGCAGAGTCAAATATCCCGTGATTGTTAATCCTAATTGAATGACTGATTTATAAGGTTAGACATTTTACGTGGTACATCTATATTTCAAGTGACAAACTTAATGGACAAGACTGATTTAGTACGATTTATTTAATAATAAGTTACGAGCTTAATATAAATTGTACTACTACGCATAATTGAAAAATCTAATTAACCTACACAACTGAACAACAACGGCCAGGAAAACTGCTGGACTTGTGATGTATTCCCATTAAGAAGGGCTGTCCATAAAGGGAGAACCATAATAATAGCTTTAGCAAGTGTATAGTCGTTTGATACATGTGATAAAGATAATAATTTCGGAATAAAGTTTGAGACTAACAAAAAATTTATGCATTTTTCCCTATATATATATANAGATGGGAGTAATAAAAATCATCTTACTCAGAAGGTTTATACTATATATACCCTAATCCCAAATATTAAGTTACATTAAGAGGCGAAGCTATATTGGCCCAAAGGTCCACCCTTCGCCGAAAAATTATACTACGTATAAGGTAAAATATTATTTGTTATTGATTAAAAATAGACTTTGAATACCCTTGCATTGTCCAATGGCAAATAGTGTTCAAAATTTGAACACCATTATTAAATTTTCTGGCTTCGCCATTGGTTACATTATAAAAAAAGATTTGAGATTTTGAGGCGCAATGACATCCGTCGTTCCATTCCATAATAGTTCAGCAAATTGCCTGTTCGCTTCTTCTGTGGGATGACTGGCATCGAAAAACACATGATCTGTCACATTTGGACATAACTCGTACTCTTTCACTTGCCTCTTACCTCCACAACTATTAATTCCTCTAAATTGACCTGTACCACAGCATGCTTCTATTGATACTTTAAAACCTGCACAAACAAAATAAATTGTGATTAAAATGAAATACGTACTCTCCATACTAAAGAGAGCCGAACCCAGGATTTGAAGGTGGCGGGAACACATGAGCGGACTGCTCAACCAGTGCCCCATCGGAGTTTTGATTAAGGTTTCCAAGCAAATTATATTACCATTTTCAACATATATACAAATATATATACAATTATTTATATATATATATATATATTCAGAATTTCCCCCCGATATTAACAGGGTCAGGTGACCCCTCTAATCTATAGATAGGTCCGTCTATGATCCTACGAAAGAATAATCGATCGAGTTCAGAGTATGAGGGTCAACTAATTTGAAATGCGTTGGAACTGAAAATAGAACTTACCATATTTGGAAGGGTTATCAATCCTTTCAGTAAAGAGTTTGAAAAGATCAAATAACGTATAGTTAAATCCAGTCAAATTCTGTTGTAGTTGGTTGAGCTTTTGGGGAAGAGCAGAACTGTGCATTTGCAATAAGCCATTGAGTTCTTGCATGCAGTCCCCACTTGTACCATTTGCTTGTTCATTAAATGCTCTTCCACCTGGGGAACAACCTTCTGGAGGCAACGTAAATATGGTGAATTTTCTTCCTCCTTTATTGTAAATTTCCTGTTACATTATAATGATTCAAATAATGTTAAATTAAAGTTTCAACAACAACAACAACAACAATAATATACTGAGTGTGATCACGTAAGTAAGGCTCTGAGAAAGGTTGGGTGTATGCAACCTTATCCTTACATTATGTGAGGCAGAGATGTTTCTCATAGACCTTAGCTCAAAAAAATTATTTTCGGAACAAGTGTGAAAATACAAGAATAAAAAAGTTATGATCAGCAAAAATAGTAAAATATATTAAATTAAAGGTTATCAAATAAAAATATTAAACCAAATTGCATGTTACATTGATTCACATGACTCCAAATAATGTTGATAATAATGTCATGATTACCTGTAAAATAGCAGTAAAATTACCCAATATCATCTCTGAAAATTCTTCCTTAGGAAATGGAAACTTAGGATTGGAAAGGTAAGGGAAAGCATAATCATTACTTCCAGTGCTAAACATGTATACAGCATTAGTGAGGAGTTGTTGTGCCTGATGTTGCCCTAACTTATTCTCCAATAATTGAACCACCTCATTGAAATGTGCCAACTGCGTCGGAAGATCTATAACCTGTAAATTGGAACAACTTTTGTTATTTATTTTGGTTTCTCACATAGGGTTCGGTACCCGTATAGAGGCCCTACTAAATCTGAATTGACACGGAAAAATTCTTATTAGAGAGTAAAATCCTCCCTAATAAAAAAGACTAACATCATCTAGTTAAGTATGAAGGTGAGTACTTAATACTCGACCTCAATCCTTGTTGGCCAACTTCTATTATTTGGTATACTACTTTCGTCAGAAAATTTGAGCTTTTCCGTAGGGAAGATAGTGGTTTTTATAGTTACCTAGAAAAATCACGTACAAACGGAAAAAGAGATGCCAAAATGAAAAGAAAAAAATATGAAAGATAGTCTAATATTGACGGTATTATCTCTAGTTTGTATACATTGATTTTACATAGATATACATGATTATACACATATAATACATAAATTTTATATATATATATATATCCTCCGATTATTTTTTGTTTAAGCAATTGATTGTGCGGCTATTTAAGTTAATTCAACAAAGAAACAAACGAAAGAAAATCTAATATTGAAAAGAATTTTACTTTAAAAAGAAAAATAAGAAGGCCACTTACAATACCACGGTTGGTTTCTACTAAACAACCTGAGCCACTGGAAGCAAAGTTCACCCCATGAAGAAATTTATCGGTCCCAATTTCAAAATATGCAGGAATTAATGGCAAGTTAGCAAATTCCGCTGCAAACAACAAACCAAAAACATTATCAAATTAGTTCTTGACAATCACAAATACAAAGGGAAAGATATATAGAAATTTTAAGAATTAAGTGGTAGCTCATCGATAGAACTAATACCAATAAAATCGGATATGAGACGACCATCACAAGGTCTACCAGTAGGAGATTTGAAGAACGTTTCGCCATAAGGCGGGAAATTTGTTTGGAATTGAGTCGTAGTGTTAATGTAATTATTATTCCCTGGATCCAAAATTGAATCACCAAACACAAATAGGGCAGGAAAAGGTCCAATATTGCCTTCAACAAATTCAATTGGACTGCCCAAAAGAAATGCAAAGAGAATCAAACAGCATCCAAAAAACAAGTTCGTACCGAAAGCCATTATTTCTGTGATGATTAATTGATGGAACAGTTTGTTAGTTGTCTTCCTTTTTATATAAAAAAGTTGTTCTTTTTTTTAGTAAGAAAAATAACTTCAAGATCTACATTAAACTTCATTTGATCATATACTAATAATGTTAGGCTAGAAATGTACATATTTTAAATATAATACTGTATGTAGTCTTTGACAATTGACTCAGTCCTTATTTGCTAAATTTGTCAATGAAATTACTATTCTGAAACTTACATGGAAATACATTTACGAAATAGCTTATAATACTAGAATATCGTAATCCAAGAAGCATTTTTATGTTTGAATTGAAGAATGGATATTGGGAAAACGGTAAATTATTCAAATTTTGAGGTGGTGTAATTTCAATATTTACATAAAATTTGGTTAAAGTGATTTTTTCCTTAATAGCAGCTTATTGGTCCAGCTCCAATCTTTTCCAAATTTGTGTACTTTGATTCAGCAAATATATGGCTCAAATATAAACAGAGATGCACGCATGTGCATTCGATATAAGTATAAGATTCATCATGCGTATGCTAGACTTGCATTGACTAAAGACATATTGTATAAGTTACCTGGTTGATATTTTCCTTAATTTTTCATAAAAGAGATTAAGGATTTTTCAGAATTCACTATTGTTTAGTGGCTATTAACTTCTTATACCTACTATATACATAATTATTTTCTATAGCTACTATTTAGTTGTTACACGACAGTATTCGTTATATTTACGCTACTGTATTCATGAATACAGTAGCGGAATTTGCTTAAATAAAATAGGAGAGTCCAGCTGTACGACTGTATTCGTTGTATTCGCGCTACTATATTTATGAATACAATAGCGGAATTCGCCTAAAAATAGGGAAGTCCAACCGTTTAATAACGGAAAGAGGATCAATTAGCGTGTATCACTCCTAATTTAACTCAATAAAATTAATTCTACATAAATTTCGCTGCTATGCGACTATATTCGCGCTATTGTATCGAAATTCGATTTCAGAGATTGGAACATGTCCATTATGTCATTTATGACTCGTGTGCAAAATTTGAAGTCATTTCGGATTGATTTGATATGTTTCGACACGAGTTTTGCAAGTTGGAAGATTTGAAAATTTCATGAGTTCGATTTGTGGTGCGATTCGTAGTTTTGACGTTGTTTGATGTGGTTTGAGGCCTCGAGCAGCTCTGAGTTATGTTTTAGGACTTGTTGGTATGTTTGGTTGAGGTCCCGCGTGCCTTGGGTGTGTTTCGGGGTGAGTTTTGAACGAGTTTGGGAATTTCGACACTCTAATGATGTTCTGGAAACAGTAAGAGTGCGGGGGCACATTTTGGAGTGCTAAGGCAAAGCCTCATGTGTGGACCGCAGAAGAAAAATTGCGGACCGTAGAAGGAAAATTACGGACAGCAGAGGTGAAGTGCAGACCGCAAAATTTCTCTTGCGGCCGCAGAGAGGGGATTCTGCATGTTCGATGGTCTAATTTCAGAAGCTTATATCTTTTGATCTACGAGGAATTTGAAGATGGTCCAAAAATAAAAGTTGTAGCCCTTTGAGTCTAGTTTTTAGTAAGGTAAACCAATCATCATTTGGACATTTGTGCCGAAAGTTATGGTCAATTTACTGAAGCTTAGTAGTGCAGTGGTTGCTGAAGTGCGGCCGCACAATTTGGATTGCGGCCGCAAAGAACTTAAATGTGCGGAACGCACAAAAAAATGTGCGGTCAACACTTTGGAAGTCATATGTGATACCACATAAACGAGGTTTTCATCTCATTTATTTTTGGACCTAGAGAGCTCGGTTTGTGGCGATTGTTCGTGAATTTTTCAAGAAAATGATAAGGGTAAGTGATTCTAACTCGGATTTGGTTAATATACATGAATATATCATTGTTTTCATTATTTAATTAGTATTTTGAGATGAAAATTTTGGAAAAATTTGTAGAAGTTTCATAAAACGAATTTTTGGGATTTGAATATCGATTCGGAGTCGGATTTGAGTGAAACTAGTATGGTAGGACTCGTATCGGAATGGGTGTTCGGATTTCGTAAAAATCCTGTCGGGATCCGAGATGCGGGCCCCGCATTGACTTTTTAATATAAAATTTTAAGTTGACGTTTTATTATCCAAAATTATTTTCGATGAATTTTAATAAAGTTATACAATTAATTTGATTAGATTTGAGCTGTCCGGAGGTCAATTCAAGCAAGAAAGCAATTTTGGAATATCGACCTAATTTTAAAAAGGTAAGTATCTTGCCTAACCTTGAGTGGGTAAATTACCCCATAGGTATTGAGTCCTATGTGAAAATTGTGTAATTGAAAACCATGTACGCGAGGTGACGAGTACGTACTTGGTTTATATGTGCAAATTATATTGGTTGAAATTCGTAGACGCCCTTATATATTAAATTGGAAAATTGTTGAAATTTAGTAAATCCTTGATTTTTCATGCCTCATTCCTTGTTTATCGAGTTTGTATTTTATATGATAATTTGGTGTGATTGTCACTTGGACTTTTTACCTGAATTCGTGTGTTGGTTAAATTGATATTTCTTGAAAATAATCACATTATGGATTTTCCATCTGCAAATAAATAATTAAATAAGTTTAAATTGAGGCGTTAATATAATTATCTAAAATTTGGATTTAAGAAGGCATTGTTCCTTGATGAATTACTTTCCAGTTCATGTTGTTGAAATTGGTATTGAGTTATAAAAGTCGTAAATCATATTGAGACAAAGTGTTAAATTGTAAAATATTATTCTATTGAATTATTTACTCCCGGATATTTTTGTTAAGATTTTGTGCGCATTATGGTCGATCCATGGACCCCTTATTGTGGAAATTAATGTATTGTTGATTTTTGTGGTAAGTTATAATATTTGAGAACTTGATGTGCAATCTCTGATATACTGTAATATTTGAGCACTTGAGGTGCAATTTATGAGATGTTGTGATATTGGCACGTGATATTGTTGGGAGGTTTGTTCGGGTGTTTGCACGAGATTTCTGCCGTGCTATTGTTACTATTGATATATGCACATGCGGCATAACAATGCGGTCTATATATATGTGGGTTTGCGCATGTGGCGAGATAAGGTGAGAATATTATTATGCGCGTGTGGCGAGAAAAAGGCGGGCATTTACTTTATTATTGTGCACGTGGCGAGACAAGGTGGGCTATGTCGGGGATTGATTTTTGATGACTTGTGATGGCCTGGGGGCATTATTGTTTGTTGAAATTTATTTATGATTTGAGACTACGAGGCGGTACCTCGGGAATGCCCTTTTGTTGATATTTCTCTTTGGCTGCACTTGCCTTTGGTTATTTTATTTTTGACGTAATATGTAAATTTCTGTGTTCTCCGTGATGTATTATTTGACTTAATATTAAGTATTTTTTATTTCTTGTAGTATTGTGTTGGCTTTGGCTTTTTCGTACGAGACTCTGAGGATTTGTATGTCTGGTTTGTACTTGTTCTTGATAATTAAGTTGTTTTAAATAAAAAAATTACTATTATGTTTTAATTTAATAAGTTGTACATCCAAACCAGTAGCATATCTGATGCTTTATTTAAATTGAAATGTCATTTTCTTCACTCAAACTATTTCTAAAATAAACTCATTTCTTTGTTAAATTCTTACTTGGTTTAAAATTTTTAACCTTACTTTATTGAAAATAAATTGATCGTACGTATTTTATGTATTGGCATATTTGGCACAAGAGTTGTACATGCGGTTGTGATAAAGATATAGGCACGAGGTGCCGTGAGAATATGAAAGGGGGCTGAGACCCGTATTTTATGATTATGATATAAGATATTTACTTGAAACAGTTTTATATTCGAAGGATATTTATTTGAAGAAATATATTTGGAGGGTATTTATTCCAAAGAATCATACGTGAAAGATTTATATTTGAAGGACTTGTTTAATTGGTTTTACTTGTGTTTCTTATTCGTCTGAGTAATAATTATGGTGTTCTTGATGCCTTGCTATTTACATCACTAGTTGATTATTATTGCTATCACTGCTATTTGTTTTCTATTATTTTTGTATAATATATTGCACCGTTTGTTAGACTAGTGAGTGTCTTGACTGTACCTCGTCACTACTCCACCGAGGTTAGTCTTGATACTTACTGGGTACCGACTGTGGTATACTCATACTATATTTCTGCATATTTTTGTGCAGATCCAGGTATTGGAGATATCGGACTCGGACAGAGTTAGTGTGTTGATCGTGAGGATTCAAGGTGGAGCTGCTTGGCCGTCGCAGTCCCTTGGAGTCTTTCCATTTTATTGTACTGTCAACTCTTATTCGAACAATATTATATATTCGATCCTTGAGATCATTGCATATTCAGTTAGAGTTCGTGATTCAGTATTATCAGTCTTGGGAGGTTATTATAATTATTTTCGCTGTTGGTTTCGACACTTGTATTAAATTATATGTTTAAAAAAAAATAGCTTGAAATGTAATTGTAATCGGCTTACCTAGTTTTAGAGACTAGGTTCCATCACGACGCCTGTGGTGAGATTTTTGGGTGGTGATAATGTTAGACCATGAATGTCACAATATCGCATAGCATGAGGAAAAATGCATCTCTATGCCTACATACGAAGTATGCATGTCAAATAAATGATTTCACGATGATTCCCAAACACTCTCGCCCTGGACATACTCAAGCTGTTTGCCTCAAATGCCCACTTCATCACACACAAACACACACACACACACACACACACCAGGTAAGCCAAATAACAACAATCTAATTCAATTAATATATAATTGACTCTAATACACTCCCTAAGGACTAGTAGTACAAATCATGAGCTTCTAAGATTTAGTATTTACAAAGCTGGTATGAAATAAAATACAACATATGTCTGAAATATTCATGAACATATTAAATATTCTAAAGCTACCATGAACAAGAGACTGTTATAACTGGAACGTAGGTATATTTTCAGATCCAGCTCCATCCGTAC